ACATAATGACAAAAGAAATGGTGTTTTTAAGTATTTCTGTATAATTGATTGATATTCTTTCTGTATATATTCAAAGTTGTTAAAATCTTGCACACCATGGGACAAAAGCATTAAAAAATATTTAGGGTCGGCACTATAAATTAGGTAAATTTAATTATTTTTTTTCTAGGCCTAAGACAAAATTCAAGTGAAATACTAGGGAAGAAACTCCAATATTCCCTTTTAATAATATCATTTTCGGCTAAAATCCATGAAAAGGAAGCCAGTCTATGTTTCTATCTTGTATACATTATATAGTACAATATTAAAGAAAATCCAGTGATGTAGGTCCTCGTAGACGGTTATCTATAGAATGTTTCATTCTTCGTTGTATATCTTCAGCCTTACATGTACCGGGACATCACGGAAGACTCTGGGCATGTATCATTAGTAAACTCGTTATCATTGTTAAGTAACCGCTAAGGATGACAAATTGACCTGGTGTAAAATTTGTAATTTGCCATGATTTTCCATTATTCCCCATTTTCAAAAGTGAATTCCCCTCAAAATCGGAACTCTTCCACTAGCCTAACTTCCGCGGACTACACATTACCATAATCCAACAAAATAGTGATCAACTTACACGCTGTATTTAAAAATTTTAAAAGAAGGAAACGGTTTGCATTTTTTTTTAGATAATAATTATTTTATAAAAGGTTGAGAGAAAGCTATACGAATTAGCCAAACACGAAGCATCGTCTTTAAAAGTGTGGGGGGGGGGGGGGGGGGGTAAAGAAATATATTTTTTCTTACCTGGAAAAGTTGACAAGCAATAAACCTTGCAAAGTTAAAAAGCTATATAAGTACCAATTCCTTGGCATACAATACTACATTTCTCTTATATAACTTTAACGTATTTAACTGTGTGTGTGTGTGTGGGGGGGGGGGGTGTGGCAATTTATAATTTTTCTTGAATTGTCTTGAGACTAAAATAAAACTATGTAAATGGGTTGAACAGTTGAATATGAACCATAGTTGTGAAAATTGAAAATTATTAGAATTTTAATTGTGATTTCAATAAAATTATTACATATATTTTTTCACATCAAATGTATTTTTTTTTCTCTCTCTCTCTCTCTCTCTCTCTCTCTCTCTCTCTCTCAGTTTTTTACACACTTTGCAAAAAAGAATAACTTATAAAAATAAATACATGTACTTACACTGAAAAAAAAATAAAAAATTTAAAAACATTTCAAAATTATTTTTCACTGTATCAATTCTCTGACTAAAACAAAATGTGTATTTTACTCGGGAATATACATGTATTTCCCACTAAAACTTTGATTAAATGCAGCTCAGACTTTATACGGTAACACGATAAACAATTTGTGTAAATTACAAAATTCAAAGTTTTAAATACATATGGTGAATCAATTATTTTACAAATAAAAAATCCACTTTTTCAATGAATATCATTTTCTTGTAAAAGTAAAAGTTCTATGTTATGACATACAATCGAGCAAAAACGCAGTCTAGGTTTCTATCTTGTATACATTATATAGTGCAATATAAAAGGAAATCCAGTGATGGGTCCTCAGTACGATGGTTTATATCTAAAAATGTTTCACATTTTGTAAATAATGTATATCTTCAGCTTTACATGTATATTACGGGACATTTTACGGAATTTGTTTCTTTCTTTTTTTTTGGGCATGTATCATTAGTAAACTCGTTATCATTGTTAAGTAACCGCTAAGGATGACAAATTGACCTGGTGTAACTAAAGATGTTCATAAGATGAATGTGACATTTGCCATGCTCGTTTTTCCAGTAGGATGTATACAGCTGTAAACTCACTAAAATCAAACGTGTATTTTGTGTCCGAACATTGTGTCGGAAGATACATGTAACATGGGCATGTTTAGCAGAAAACAACGTCTTTAAAGGCTGATTTTGTTTCAAAAGTAAATTACAATTCTCTCAAATGGAAAGTTTACGACAGAAGTTTATATAAAGATATATATATGATATAAATACTAGGTAAGTTTACATCGGTATCTTGAAAATGATTATACGACTTGTGTACCTGGAAAAAGTCACCAGTGTTTTGGCAAACTTTTATTCCCTACTATTATCAGCGAGAACATTTTTGCATGAAAGTATTTAAAGCAAAGTGAAATTTTGGCATTAAAATTTTCAATGTGATAAATTTGTTGGAAGATTTATGTTTTATGCTTTTGTACTTTTTCTGTGAATGTACATGTACTTATAATGCATTCTGTTCTCAAATATTTAAAAATTCAATTCAATTCCTTATTTGCACTAAAGCACATTATACAGGAATGTGTCATTAGCCATATATTACAATTTAAACTGTAGAAAGCTTTTTTCTAACATTAAAACAATCTCTGATATATAGACATATTTGTTTTGTAGATACAAGGTTATGTATATTAAGCAAACTAAATAAGGTTTTAACATCTAGTAATCTTGAAAGAATCATTCAGTGCATGTGTCTTTTGCAGTTTTTGCTTCTTCCTCGAAATTCCTCGTATATTCCGAGACATTATCTATAATAAGTATATATCATGGTATACTATACATTATATTAAAGTAAACAGAGAAATGCAAAAGCGCTGGTACAGTAGTTATTCATTTTTAAAGAATGGCTGAGTCCGTTAGTCTTATTTACTTGCTTCAAATTAATTAGTTGACTAAAATTTTAGTTTTTTTCCCCACAGGTTATGAAAGATTAGGATATTTCAATAAAATTGAAATAATTAACAAAAATTATATTTTTGTATTATTTGCATAATTATGTTAATTATATATGATAGCAGCTATGACCCTGACCTGAGTAATTCATCACTCTCTGTTCTTACACATTTTATTGACAACTTAACAACAAATCTTTATGATAAATGGACCTATGACTTCAACTTTTCCATCCTCGATATCCCTTATTGATATAGCAGTATACTATACCCTTATCTCATCTGCATGTGAATTTTATCTCTCCCAGTTGATTCGATAAGCAAGAGCATGCTTTACGAAAATTTCTAAAGCAAGTCGAGCTTTTCAAATATAATTTGATGTTACAAAGATGTCAACAGTCTCATCATGATTTTGCAAATCTTATGGTCGCTACAATAACCTTGTTTGCAACTACATTCTTCGTTATTTCAGTTGTTGACTGAAGTTTGTCGTACTTATTGTGGGCCATTATTTTACCTTTGAATTGTGTACAGATTTCCCCTATCAAAGCCCGAATCATACGGCGGGTGTGACCGGTGGACAGGGGATCCTTACTCCTACATGGTACCTGCTCTTAACCATGGTGTCGCAGATCCCTTGTTTGTTCTGCTCCCAACTTATTGTTTCAATGAATTTGTGATCTTGACCACTGTTCGTTGTCTCCAAATTTCATTCAGTAAAATTTGTTTTAATTTCAAAAGAATTCGCATAGAACGAAAGAGAGGTGTATGCATACGACTGCATGCCTCCTTTTTGTCAGTATGATTTTAAGTGCAAGCAGTGTATGGTACAACTTTAGACAGACTTTGTATAAGAACAATGTTTTCCAGAATGAATTAATTTTAAACTCCAAAAAAATCAATTGTTTAACACGTTGGCGTAGGTTTCACTTAACTTTTGCAGAGAAGTACCATTCTTCCTTCAGATAAAACAGTGATTGTGCAAATTTTGTAAATAAGACTTTTGAATTTTCTTTTTCTATTTCTACTTATACAAGGAAAGCTCTCATTTAATGAGTTAACAAATTAGATTTAGGCATAAATATCGTGTCTGCATAATAGATATATATTTATTTAACATTATTAGTGTAAGATATATTTTTGAATTAAAACATCTACAGTAAACTAAAAATTAAACTTCCACTATTTCACTTCAGAAGTAATAGCTATAATAGTGTGTATTTAAGACAAAGGTGTGAGTCATGTGGATCCATGCAATATGTTATGTTAGTGTTTGAAATATATCCATTGTTATAAGAATGAAGGTACCGGTAACAGAATAATGTAGGGCAATGTTTGTCAAGAATTCTTAACATTTTTGAATTACAGATTTCTCCTCAAAATAGTTCCAATCTGTTTTCATTCAAGCTACAACATTTCTGGTGACTAAATTACGCATTTGTATTTACTCTAACGAAAAAAGCATTTAAAAGAGTAAATCTGAGTAATCGACGTGGCTAAAAGAAGTCTTTTACAAAACCGCAAGATATAGGAATAATTCTGATTGAGACATATGGACCACTTTCAGTATTGTGAATGAACTGTCAGACTCAACACACACTAGAAAAGACCATTCAAATTTCATGGTTGTTTGTAATGAAACGGGTACTCCAAAAACTATCACCGATTTACGTATATCTTCGTGATGTTTTAGTCCACGGTTCTAAAAAAAAATAGAGGTTTTCCCTTTTAGATACTCGTCTCTTCTCGTGAAATGTGCAATATTTTTTGCAGTAGTCTCGCCATTTCGGCCAATTTCCATGTTTATTTTTTCGAACTTGTCGAAAATGGTTCTTGGTATAGATGTAAATCCTTCACATGAAATGTTATATTTCTGTCAGATCATTTGGTTTTTTCCTTCAATTCATAATTTATATCCCAGCTTATAAGTTAGGTGGGTTAAGATAAATAAGAAGAAGAGAATTTTAAAGATAATTTACAGTCTGTTATCAATGCTGTCAATTGTTTGAAAACCACCGCTAAGCGTCGACTTGACGGATAAAAAATTAAAACTCATTTAGCACAGAACAATTGTAATTCAATGTCATTTTTCTTGCACTGATTACACTGTAAATTAAATGTTCTCTCCAAAAACCACCATCAGGAATTATCATAAATGCTAATGATGCGACTTGTATAAGTAGAATACCTTCTCTACTTTTTCCTTATTTTCTGAGCTGTTAATAAAATATGATAGACTATTTATACCGTGACAAGGGCCTACGTCACTAAAGACGAGAGGCAATATTTCCTTTATAACACATTAGTTCTTGCGACGTAGGTCCTTTCCGATTCTACCTGTCGACTGTACAGGGTCGGGCTCGGGAAACGCAGAGGGTTTCCAGTTTCTTGCCTGCTACCCACGGGTAAGTGAACTATTTTTCCTCATCATTTGGTTCCACTTCTTCATCTATGATGCTCATTAACAAAAAGTTGCAGATTTCTCCATCTTTACTTCTTTTATAATGATAAAGAAGTTTTCACCTTGAAATTGAATTTCAATGATATATCTATATTTCTTTTAAATCTTTTAATAAATAAAATCCTTTGAAATAAAATAAAAATGTTTGATTTTTAAAAAAAAATTTAATTAAGAACAAAGAATTTTCATTTAGGAACTAAAATAGTACTTTCTGCATTAAAAAAAATCGTACTTTTGTATTTTTAGTTTTCACATTTAGATTTTTCCGCAGAACAATAAATTTATCATTATCTTTCGCAAACACAGACATTTAACGGTTTAACAGCGGTATAAATTACGGATGTGAATTGTACTTAACTAAGATGAAAGGCCACTCTCGTGGTGACAGGGGGTTCTATCCCTCCCTTTGTTGTATGTGACACACGGTGGTCAACTACCTTTTACATTTCCGTTCACCTGTTCAGTGAGTTTCAATCAACAAAATTATTAAATATTTTCTTTTTATTTCTATCTTTTTTTTAAATTTACACATTTGCATAAAAAAGATTAATTGCGATTTTTAATCAAGTTGTCAAAATGACTTAAAGTAGTAACCACGTGATCAAAAGTCAAAGGTTAGGTGTTAGCTTGACTTTGAATTGGTTGTCGTAAACTGTTTCTATTTTCACTTCAATTGACCTTCATTTTTGACAGAAGTTAACGACATTGACCTTGAAATTTTCTAAGTTTGCACTCATAGAATAAATAATTTATTTTTATAATTAATGACCTATTTGGATTGGTTTCCTCATCTATTGAGAGAAAAATGATCCATTGTTTCGGCTTTCAAAAGGTTTTGACAAATGCTCATAAATTTACCCTTAGAAATATGCACGTCACTATTTATGGCAATGTTGATGACCTTTATTTTAAGTGCATTCTAGTATTAGTATTTAGTTTTGTTCTACTGGTGTCTATAAGAAATAAACAAAGCTCACCGACTTTACGAATATTTCAGAGGGCTATGTGACATGTTTATAAATCCCCTGATTTATATTAATATCATGGACATTCCTTAGAGATGACCAACAAATAGCAGAGTATGAAATTGCTCTGGACCTTATATAGCAATACTGAATGCGCACACTTTCTCCTCAGCAAAAATCTAAAAATATTATTAGCTACCATAGAGACGTCCTTGACCACCATGGAAGCAATATATATATTTCCAGACAAATTTATATTATGACAACTTAAATTTATGTCGGAAGAAAAAAATTTAAAACTATTTCCTGAAACGTCACTGAAGGTAAAGCAGACGATACTAGGACATGTGTATACAACTTATAAGAAATAAGAAAAGACCTTGACCTTCACTGTGTGTTATTTGATGAAAGGTGATCGCTCCCACTGGTATGCATTATTCGTCACGAAATACAAAATTCTTCAACACAAAATCGTGGACATAAAGCAACCAAAAACTTGAAAATTGCTATGTGGCCTTGCAAAACCTCAGATCTTAAGTGGAAAATCGAATTATGATCAAAACTTCTTTCCAAAAAATCACGTGTATTTAGATGTCTTAATCGTGACAGGGACAAGTACACCATGCAATGTGTCAAGTTTTTTTTTTTAATGCACCTTTTTCAACTCATCTTCCGGGGCACATGACACGGTTCAGTGGCGCTATTAAACTAATCTAAAGATAGTATCAGGCATGGGGTTTTGTAATATATGTAATGCCTGACAGGGGAACCCTTCAAAATTACAAAATCACACATGCATGCCTTGTGTAGCAGGACCACCAACTGAAGGGAAATTTTCGTTTTGTGAAAAAAAATATTTAAATGCGTCTTTCCTGCGGCATGGTTGTTAATTCTAATCATTGGCTTTATGCCTGCTTCTTGTCATTGCTCATCAGAAAATTGTCGTCAAGATGACTGTACTGTAAAAAGAACAATTATATATGCAAGGGTTCTTGTAGAAAGTTTGCATTAATTAATTCATATATATTTTCTAACAATGATGATCACAATGGCTTGTTCTTACTATACAGCAGAAACGCTTCTTATTTTTCTACTTGTTGACTTATTGTGTAATGATTACATTAAGGCGTAAATGAATCGGTTTTACTTATTTGACATCAGGGCAAACATTTATATTTATTCTGTACTTGACATCTTTGACATATATTAAAATTTTATAACAATAATGCCCCACCTCATTGAATTAATGCGAATTTTATGTTTTTCATTGTCTGTTCCATTTCTGAAATGATTATGTAAAGTATGGGGAATTTGTAAGAGTATAATATGTTTAACCCTTCAAGGAAATGAAAGAAAGCTGATTGACAGCGATTATTGAACTTTTTTTTATAAACAAGCATGCCCTATGATGTTACAAATCTTAACAAAATCATTCAATATTAATTAAGATTAACCAAAAAAAGTAAAATCAGAACTGAAAAGTCGAAGTCGCTCCACATCTTTTGAGGGCTAACCTTTTTTTCTAATTAATGACTAAAACAATAATTGTACAAAACACAAATGAAATCCGTTTACAAGTTAAATTGGGACATTCGTCTCGTCCTTAACTGTCACTTTGCCGAGGGAACAAAGTCATCCGGTTGTCGTAAACTTGACGACAATTCTAGAAACGTATGAAAGCTTAATTTTGCGGTATATATTAAGTAGGAATAAAACATATTTTAAAACAAAAACTGCATTAATTAGTCTAAATATCAGTTATTCTAATTGTTAATATAAAGTGCTCTTGGGATGTGTTGTATTTTTTTTTTTAAATTTTGATAGCACTGTTTCGTAGGTATTGTTAAAATTCTGCTAGATTTGAAATTCTGATTTAACCTTTTTGACTTTAACCTTAGAATGAGGTAAAACCCCGAAAGAAATCATTGAGAAGATCTGAAATGATTTTAGCTCAACTGCTCAAGTTATGAAACTAATAGAAGTGCAACCTTGAATGAGTGACCGACCTATGGACAATTTCGACGTTCTTTCCGACGGTTCCGTTGACATTTACGAAGGAAAATAATTTCTAGTGTTGGTTAATTATAATTTATTAGACAATTTTACTTGATGAATGTACATACGTGAGACACAATTGGGTTATCGTTCCTGATAAATATGTGCAAGGGCTGACCACAAAGATTGTGGACAAGTGCACAAGTACTTGATTCGGAATATATTTCTTTTATCCCATACCATGATACCATATACCAGGAGTGCCAGTAATGCAAGTAGCATGGCCTAGTCTGACGTAAAGTTACATGTAGGTTGATGATTACGTTACAAATAGGAATTTTGTATTTTTTTATCTCCTTTGCAGACATTTTTAATGCGCACTCTACCAATGAGTACAATAACGTTTTCACATAGACTATGTTAGAGTAATTTTAAATCGTAGCATGGACATTGTACGTCATCATTAAAACCCGAGTCATTGAGGTCCCGAGTCAAAATGTTGCCGTAGAACTCCTGACAAATTTCAATTGGTACAAGTGTTTACTTACCTTTTGACCAATTGCTTTAACCTTCCGTTTTCTATAAAATGTAAAAGTCCCCATGCATCTGATCGGTGCTTCTCAATGACAGAAGCGTGACCGTAGAACATCAAATGACGTTGTCAAGGATCTAACGGCAACGTGTTAACTCGAGTCTGACGTTGCAAGGTTAACCGCTAGGTGGAGCCTACCTACGCAAAAGAGCATATCGATCCCGATGTAAATTGCTGACGTTACTTCTATTACGCTCTACGCTGCTAAAAAAAAATAAGAAAGAAATCTTTTCGCAATATCAATAAACGTCATACATTGAAGGTGCACGACCTTGATCGACGTTCAGCTTGATTTTCATGTATAACTTTTTGCACTATCTCCCAAAGTTCACACATGATCGAAAAACCATATACGCCAATGGTAAATCGGTGAACAAGAACCATTCTGAATATTCCTTGTTAATTGATGATTCTGATTTATTTTTCTCTTTTGTCAATTTTACCTTATAAAGAAATAGTCATATGATGGAACGCTATTTCGTTCGGATGGTCGCGGTCGTTTTATTTATAAGATATTTTCATAGATGTGTTTTTGCAGTATTCCACTATCTTAATTTCACATAACTGATATACTGAAAATACTGAAAGATGGCAGCAGTAATTTTATTCACGACACATTTTTTTCTATGTAGTTTTGACGTATAAATTAAAAATAATCATTGAACAATTTATTTTTAACATTCAGTTACTTAACCTTGGTCCTGCCACCTTTAAAGACGACTGTTTTTACAGAAAGTTATCAAACGATTCTATCTTGACTTTTCACGAAAAGCTATTTTTGGTATACAATATGCATACGACTCAGAGCACCCTAAAAATAGACATCTCTCGCAGGAAAAATTACAGATATCGTGGAAAAGAGACTGTCAAGCTGTGATTTTTTCAGGCAAAATTTATCATTGATGGAAAGCTTAACTAAAAAATTAATTATATTTATTATTATTTTTTACTTAATTGGATGTTTATCCCCCCCCCCTTAAAACTCAAACAGGAGCACAAAAACCACGATATACAAAGATTATATATCTTAATCTAATCATAAAAATTAAAGATTATATTGGTTTTCGCGTCAGTGTACAAAATTATACCACAGTAGCTACACAAAGACCAAAGCCTTTTATTTGTTCTACTTTGGACTACTTATTTGATTTTATTTTGATGCATAGGTCTTAGTTTGACGGAATTATTATCATAATAAAAGTGTCACTAGAAAAGATAGAGAGTAAGTTAACCCAATTAATAAACTTGGGGGTTCCCATTTTTAAAGACAAGTATATACTAGTATACTTGCAACTTACAATAAAATACTCAAACTTAGAACTATTTTTAAAGTAATGAAAACAATCCAGAGAATGGGTTGTTTCGTAAGGAAACATTCAAGATTCGGTAGTCGACCACCAGTATGATTTTAACCCAGAAGGCCAAAAGGTGAAAATCAAACACCACAAAAATAATACACACTACAACATTTAAGGTTTAACTTGGAGAAAATGTGAAAGGGCACTAAATTTGATTAACCTGACCGACCGACACTTGGCTGAAGTTAAATACACACAACTGTCAAAAATGGTGACCGCGAGCTCTTTGAACGACTGGTGGATACTAGCGAACTGTCATGGCCAGTGTTTGGACAATTCTTAATTGCCTGTCCATGACATTTCTTCGTCATTCTGGTGATGAGGACGCGATAAATGATAATGGAGCCTTCATATATACATCATTTGTCAAAGGGAAGATTTATGAATGGAGAGAAATTATTTTCTGGAAGTGGTCATTCATATCTCTTCCTCTTGTACAATACATGAAGGCTATTGGTTAAATTATTTATTACGTAAATACTATACCATGCATGCGTAGTTTTCTAGGGGAAGGGAGAGGAATTTGGTATTTACTTGTGGTCATTCAAGTGTATTTTATATGTAATTTTGATCTTGGGCCCCGCAGCAACGTTTTTCAAATGAAAGAGGACTAAGAAAATGCCCAAGATAAATAAAGTCATTATTATGAGTCTTCTGAATTGAAATTGTACGTTTTTCATTTATATTGGATACTCATTTATCAGTTAAACAGACAGTGTTTTGCGCATCAAGTGCTCAATAGGCCTCTATTTCAATATCAAAGTTACTAGTTACAGGACCATTCAGGGTTTAATTCCATAGTATATGCCAAAGCCTGTTCAGTAGTGCACCATTAAGTCAAGAGTTTCCCAAATTAAACAGACACTTTTCCTACATCTAACTGATTGTTAAAATTATAGTTCTCAAATACATGTATATATATGCGTCTACGTCTTTGGTACAGTAACCCCCTCCACTCTCTCTCCCCCCCCCCCCAAAAAAAAAGAAAATTAGCAACTGTCTTCCCGCACCCATATAATTAAATGAACGACGTTTCATTGGTATGTTAGCGAAAAAACAGAATAATAAATGGCGTTGTCCTTACATTTCTGATATGAAAAATGCAATATCCTGGAGCGCCAGCCTCTAAAAACTTGCATTTGGGTCATGTTCAAAGGTGTGAACAATTTTTCTTCTTGATATTTGGGAACTCGTAACACTTTGTTCTGGTGTGTGACCGTCCTACTTCTGTCTATTGTCTGTCAGCTTTACAATTGTTTAAGGAGGCTAGACCCTGTGTCCTACTTATCTACTTCGTATACAAAAAATCTCAACTTTTCCTAATTATTAAAAATAAATAAGTTTAATTTAGATTTTTTTTTACTTATTCCTCGAATGTGTTTTTTTTTCTTATCTGTACTTAATGCATGTAGTAAATTTGCAGTGTACTGTAACTAGATTAGTGTATATAAAATATAGGGTCATGTCAATAAAAACGAAGAGACCAGTCAGTCCAAATATGAATCTGTCGACATAAAACTATTCTCAGACAGCATAAATAAATAACAGGAGAAGGATATGTATTTACTTTCATATATCATTTTTCTAATCAGGCCAGTAGCATCATTTTAGGAAAAAAAGGGGTACACTGTACTTCTTAACTCAAGCTTCGAAGAAGAATTGAATAAAGGAACTTTTTTTTCAAATTCTTAAAACTTGGTTGTTTTTTTTTTATCTCAATGGGGGATCCAACTATTTTGATAATAGAAAACATTTTATTACGTTAACATTGAGGAAATTTACTACTCTGAATCAAAATGAACATTTTAGTACATGTAAGAGATCATGTGAGGGTAAAGGGACAGACGTACGTGGCACCCCCTCCCTGCGCCTTTTAATAACACATTGTGGTTGAAGTTTAAACCAACGAGAATTGTTTCCCTTCTTGCGGTCTACTTTGCAGGATTTGTAAAATTTTCTTTACAACAGGTTTTCCTTTCATTTTATGTTTGCTATGAATCACGTAAGTTTTAATTTCCATGTCGGAAAATCAACAGATATGCTGACTTTACATAAAATACATGACCAGAATATTACAAAATCAAAAGAAATTGCGATTAAGAAAAAAAAATTAAAAACAAATGTAAATACCAAACTGCAGTTCTTTTCAGATGTGCACATACATGACTCCGCAAAGGGTGTTAAAGGTTCCATTACGTACACTGACATGTGTAAATATGATTTTGATATAAACTGCAGATTTATTAAATACTTTCGAAAAAATTACATTTTATGTAAATAGAGCGATATATAACAGTCTCCAAACCTGAGGTATTCTTTTATGATCGGCAGACCAAAGAATTTTACTAGAAATCAGACAGAATTCTCGTGATAAAATTTATTTACATATTGTAAATTCCCACCGGATATTTCTTGCTCTAACACGGCTACTTAATTTTCCAGTTACAATTAACGTAATAAATTACTCGACGACACTTACCATAAAACAGCAATACGTGTTCTTGTGTAGATCCTGGATGTTTTAAGGTGGACTGAGCTATGGCTTAAAGTTTCAACTTTTCATTGTTGCGTATTTAAAAAAAAAAATCACAATCTTTCTAGTTATGTTTCAATTCGACTGACCATTTAAAAGTGAAAGGAGATAGGAACCTGGTTAAAGTAAACGTAAAATACATCTTTGGTTTCGCTGAAGTTCATTGACAGTTACGCTTCAGCAGATTTCACAGTGTCAAAGTTAAAAAAAAATCACAAAATGTGTTTTATGTAAGGGGGATCGGCTGATACCCTCCAATAATCAACGAAAAGTATTTACATTTTTTACCTTTTATAAATGTTATCGGTTGCCGTTTTGTACTCCGAGAACTTAAACACAAAATGTCAACAAGATATCGATGGCGGTATGGATTTTAATTCGTCTGGATTGTGTCTAAACTTATGCTATTTTAATGTTCATTACAGAAAAAGCTGAAACTGAAGCTGACAGAAATAAAAGCTTTGATTGGTCAGTTCTGTTGACGTCATCATGACGGATCCCAACGCGGATGAGACTGTAAGGGATTATGGCCTGAGTCGGAACTTCAGCAGCGACAACTTCAATGCCGAAGGTATGCTTTGAAATTCTTTAACTTTCTTGTGTCTTGCTGGCCTACATAGGGTTGTTAACTTTACATACATGTTAGTTTAGGGTACCACAGTTTCAAGACTTTGGAATTATGAAATAAATAGCTTAAACAGATAAATTCAACGGCCCCAAATTACTTTTGTTGGATTTTTGTTTAATCTTTGATTCCTACATCAAAGTATTATTTTGTTCCTAAAATTAAAGTTATATCTCAAAATCTAGAAATAAGAAAGAGACATTGCATACTAAACCGGCATTAAGGACAGAAGATGCAAACAAAATTTCATTAAAAATCATGAAAATAACTGGCTAAATGATAAATTGGTTCATATATAAGTAAAACAAATTATTGAATTAAAATGCGTAAATTTTGATTATTCATGCAAAGTTTCATGTTATGTAAAGTGAAAAAATTGTAAAGATTTATATAGGTAGAAAGTTGAAATTTAGAACATTGTAAGAGTTAACAATTTCTCTTAATGCATTAGTAATTTTATATTTGTATCATTTACAACCAAAATAGGTTAAAAACCTATACAAATGCAGGTGGTATCTATTTTTGGCTTGTATCTTCTGTCCTTAAATGCTCCATAATGAATTCAAAACACAACTGACCCCGAAGAAAAAGGTATTGTAAAATAAAATTAATAAAAAATATTTTTAAAAAAAAGCATTAATGATGAGCTTTCATTTCTTACAGCCAGTGATGCCCATCGTCAGATGATCGGAGTCCGGTTGCCCAGGAGACAGCAGCGTCCTTCCCGTTCTAATTCCAGTTCCAGACGACATCGGGAACAAAATGGCTACCCTAAAAACTCCGATACTTCCGGTCCAAGTAAGCATATCTACCAAATATGTAATAATATATGATACCACATTTTACTAGTTTCATGGTGTGGTTTTTAACAAAAACAGGATCTTACACAACGCTGCATTCTTTCAAATTATCCGAATTTTGGACATAATGGAAATGAAAATTCTAAAAAAAAAAATAATAAAATAAAAATAAACAAACAGAAAAAACCAATCTATGAAATTATTCAGGATGAAATATTACCTAGTTTAATTATCTTTAATTATCTGTGTCTCCTTAAACAGATCCAGCTGAGATTACAACAGGTCTCCCTGGTAAGACAACTGATTTAGTGTGGTTAGGGGGGTGTTATGTTAGAAATCCTAGCATGAAAAACAAATAACAATATTTTATATTCAATGATTTTTCATAAAGATAAAGGTGAAGGTTTCAAGCATTTCCATAAATTGGAAGAACATGGATGATTAACTAAAAGTTTCAAAGGTTAACTGTTCACATCTACACTGAAAGAAAAACCTAGTTAATTTAATAACTATACCTAGAAAAGCTTTCGTCGTGATTAGCAATCATTCTGTGTACTGGTTAAGATAGTAAGTAGTGGGTGTCACGTGGAGCGGGGGTTGTATTAATTCCTACTAACCTATTGAAAGTTACTTATAAATTCTAGATTTACTAATGTTATGTAGTTAATCTACTCAATACATAGTAAAACTACTTTTCAGGTAGTGATTGTATGGACAGTAAATTTACTTGTCTTCCATGTGATTTTTACTCGTTATTTTTTCAATGTATATACAGTAAAACACAGCTATAGCGAACAAACTTATAATGAAATTACGCTTACAGCTGCATGTAAGTGACATCTCCCCTTTTCCAAAGTTTAGTAATATATATTGTAAATTTAATAGATATTAAAAATTACACTAAACACGAATTAAAATTGTTTGCCCCTGGCTCTTTGCAATATAGCGTTTTACTGTATAAAAGCATATTTATTTATATCTTATTTATTATAAACGATGATGGTTTATGACTCATATATATGAAGTTGCTTTAATATTCCAAAGAGCTAAGATGGATGACAAGTACAGCAGAAAAAAAACATCAGAGAAAATTTGGAAAACTCCTTATTGTTTTACAATATCTGGTACGCGTATTTTTTGGTTTCTTTGTGTAGCTTCCCTATCGCCAAGTGAGCACATTCAGCAGATTCTGGGCGAGAATGAGGAGACTCATGCCGTGTTCTGTCAGATGGACACCCTTTACACCGCTCTTAATGAGTACCAATGGAGGGAAACAGCCAGGTAAAACGTGAAAATGGGGGCACATTATGAAATACACTGTATTAGTACTGCAATTAGTTCAGGGAATGGTCTAACTTCGAAACATTACAGAGCAACTGAACTGGGATAGTAAAAGAAAAAAAAATAACAGCTGAATATTTGAAAACACTGAATATTTCTTCCTTTGAGGAATATCCGGGTATTTTAAATGACGAGTTTTAAATTTGAAGTTAAAATTATAAGCCGTAAAATTAAATGTAACATTATACAGGGCAATCGAGGCTTTAACTTTAAAATCGACAATAATGAATGATTACTGTATCTTCAGATGGGTGAAATATGAGGAGGATGTAGAAGATGGAGGAGAGCGCTGGTCTAAACCCCACGTTGCCTCGCTTTCGCTACACTCCCTGTTCGAGCTCCGGTCCTCCCTTTTAATGGGAGCCGTGATGCTTGACATGGACGCCTTTCACATCACCCAGGTTGCTGGTAAGTCTGATTCCCAATACTAAACGAATGTTCGAAGTTGTTTTCTTTGTCACGTGACTCGAATACTTGTTGTGGTGTATATGAGCATTTATCTTAGAATAAACTTCTTTTATCTAGACCTCATCATAGATCAGCTCATCAATGCCAAACTTCTTGAAAGCAACCTCCGTAACAACGTTAGAGCAGCAATAATCGCAAACCATGCCCATCAACATCAAAAGCGCAGGCGCAGTATGATGCCATCCGAACACGAATCAATGGCGGACTTCCGAAAACGTTCAATGAAGAGGAACTTCTCTAGTCAAATGTCTTTCAGATCTCGCGGTTCGTTGCATTATTAATTATTTTAATTTCAAAGCAAAATTATTCAAAGCACATATGCAACAAATAAAATACATGTAACAGGTTTTCTGTTATTTTTTTCTACCCTTTTCAACAGACAGCTCAGCGAAGTTAAACAGAAATCCAAATAGCGTTCCTGAAAACATCGGCGACATTTTAACAGAGTCTGCGTCATCTGCAAAGGTAACGACCAAAACACATGTTTTAATCCATAAAGTGAATAGTTTCTTTGAGGAATAAAAGACTCAGAAAATGTTTTTAAAAAACAAACAACACTGTAGTAATTGGCTTTCCTTGCTTTTTAGTTGAATCAACAATTTATGAAAAAGATTCCCGAAGGCGCAGAAGCAGCCAATATTCTGGTCGGAGAATTGGATTGTCTGAAGTACCAAATCACGGCGTTTGTCAGACTGACCGAAGCAAGATCTATTGGAGATCTGACTGAGGTCCCAATACCAACCAGATTCGTCTTCGTTCTTCTAGGACCTCCCGGAAGTCAAAACAAGAACGTGGAAATGGGAAGATCCATGTCCACCCTTATGGTTGATGAGGTACCTCCTATCCAATGACTACGAGTTAATGTTTAATTTGTGACTATATGAATGACAACATAATGTATATGTGCAATTGAACATGTCAGATCCATTTCTGTGATACGTTACATATTGCTCGTGACATGCACCTTGTTTTACTCATATTTGAAACGTACACTTTGCTTTGGTAGGTGTTTAGGGAAGTAGCATACCGAGGCAAGAACAGACAAGATCTCCTGTCAGGAATTGACGAGTTTCTGGACCAGGTCACCGTCTTACCACCCGGAGAATGGGATCCAAAAATCAGAATAGAACCCCCAGACAAAGTACCTTCTCAGGTAAGAAACAAATTGTTTTAATATGTTGTTGTGAAACTTTGTAGAGAGGAGTACGTAGTTGAAAACATCATGAAATCTTTGCAGGATCCAAGAAGACAACAAAATGCCAAGGTACCAGAGGGCCCTAAAGTAGCAGCAGAGATGATTGAAGAGGAAGAAAGTCATATGGACCCAACCTTAGTTAGAACTGGAAAGTAAGCGAGAACATTGTATTATAATTATTAATTACACATCCAAGTTATAAAGGCATTCATTGGATTAAAGTAATAGAGACTTTAGTTTGCAAGTTATCCTTTGAGACTTTGTAGGTTTCAAGAAATGTACACACATATCCTTATCCAAGACTAAAACACAACACTTCATAAAGTTCACAATGACTCTTTATTTATTCATTCTAACAAATTCAACACCAAATACTTGTTGAAGTGCTTCTGTTGTAAACTATATGTATATTTATGGCTATTTATGCTCAACTTGAAACTGTGCCTCTTACAACTAGAGACTATCAATGTACACTGGACCTTATACTCATTTATACCTGCCTTGCCCAACAAAAGTTAACTGATAGAGTTTCTGTCTCTCAAGTCTTGACACAAACTTCATTCATATCTAAACTTTCTCTTAAGACTCTTCGGAGGATTGATAGCCGACATCAAACGTAAGATCCCATGGTATGCTAGCGACTTCAAGGATTGTCTACACATCCAGTGCGTTGCTTCCACCTTGTATCTATACCTGGCTACCTTAACACCCAATGTCACGTTCGGAGGTCTTCTAGGATTGGCGACAAACCAATATATGGTATACTCAATATAACTTTTACTCCTTATACTCTTAAAGCATGTATTTCGAGAAAGCATCACGTATTCCAAACACAATTTCTAATAAAAATTGGGTCACAATATGGTTGTTGGTTTCATTTATATGCATATTTAAAATACAAGGACTTGTCTTGTATTTCTTCACAGGGTACCATGGAATGTATTTTAACAGCTGCTATTGTCGGTATTCTTTTCGCCCTCTTTGCTGGTCAACCCCTAAACATTCTTGGTAGTACTGGACCTATGTTGGTTTTGGAAATGATTGTCTACAGCTTCTGTATGTATGTATTTCAATAAACGAACTGGTAAAAATACTATTGTAAATGCTGCTCAATTTCAAATGGGACAAAGAAAAATAAGTGCACAAGTAATATAATGAAAACAAAATGATTTTCCAGGGATCAAGGCTGGGACTATTTACCTTTCCGAGCGTGGACGGGAATATGGACAACGGTTATCATAATGATTGTCGTGGCCTTTGACCTCAGCGCTCTTGTACGGTATATCACAAGATTTACGGAAGAGAGTTTTGCCTGCTTGATTGCCATCATTTTCATTTACGAGGCCATCAAAAAAGTCATCGGAATCACGAAGAAGTACCCTGTTGACCTTCACCCGGAGATGGAACACGTTTACAACTGCTCATGCATGCCGACTTTGGACAACAACTCTACATTTTTCAATACTACAGATCTTACAATGAGCGCTGGCCCTGCATACGCTGTTGAGGCCACAACTATGGGCTTCATGAATGCAACCACTATGGACTACTCTTCTCTGAGCGAGGAAATGTGCAAAATGTACAACGGAACCATGATTGGACCAGACTGTAGTACCCATCCTTACGTTGCTGATGTCTTCTTCTTGTCACTCATTTTGTTCGCCGGCACCTACGTCATTGCAACCTCCCTGAAAGAATTCAAGAACAGTGGATACTTTCCAACCTTTGTAAGCTCAAAAATCTTTAATAGTTTGACTAATGTTATAATGTTTATAAACCTTTAAAAAATTAAAAGTTTGTTTTGAAAAAGGATTTTTTCGACTTTCTTTAACCAGATCTGACCTGAACAATGGGTATCAGTCGTATTTTAAAATTTGGAAGAAGTCGTTGTTTAAGAGTTTTCTTTATGTTAGGTTCGTCAAATCTTCAGCGACTTTGCAGTGTTGATCGCCATTATCTGCATGGTTGGTCTTGACATGGCAATCGGAATCGGTACTCCCAAACTAGAAGTTCCAGAAAAGTTCTCTGTAAGTTAACTAAAATATTTCTTCCCAGTTTCAAAAAAAAGAAAACTTTGTATAGATGATCCCCATTCTTTGAAAACTATTTGGCGTCGTGAATTTGGAATGCAAAGATTATTTTCGTTTCAGCCGACCAAACCAGGCCGTCCATGGTTCATCAACCCCATCAGCGACAAAAATCCATGGTGGATCATCCTGGTCACCATTATTCCTGCTGCTTTGTCCACCATTTTGATTTTCCTTGATCAGCAAATTACAGCTGTTATCGTCAACAGGAAAGAGAACAAACTTCAGGTATAATTGCGGAATCATTCTTTGTGAAAAAAAATCTACCCCACACATACATGAAATTGACTACATGTATAAATTCAGTTCAAAATTACATATTATAATAATATTAACAGAATTGATAAATTATATTTGATAATAGAAAAGTCTGTATTCACAGCTTTGAAATCATAATTTAAGACTTTATCTGTTTTGATTATCAACAGAAAGGGAATGGATACCATTTGGACTTATTCGTGGTGGGAATATGTGTGTTGATCTGTTCTTTGATGGGACTACCCTGGTACGTGGCTGCCACTGTCTCCGCTCTGGCCCACATCATGAGTTTGAAGAAGGAATCAGAGTGCTCTGCCCCTGGAGAGAAACCTGTTTTCTTGGGATGCCGGTAATGATTCGATCTAATAAAACTTTCACACTCATCAAAGTTACTCCACCTTGATGTTTTGGAGACCGTCTTTTCTCTGCTCCAATTTTGTATTGTTTGATAGACTTTTGAGGCTGAATACTCTTCGTTATCTCTATATTTCATCCATAAATAAAGGAAAAGTTTTCGAATTCCTTTTCAGAGAACAGCGCGTGACTGCTTTGGCTGTAGGAATTCTTAGTGGATTGTCTGTATTCATGACGAAAATATTGAAGGTGAGCCCCTCTATAAAAGTTATCTTTGATTGACAGGTCAATGTTTTTATGGGGTTAATTTGTGTTAACCTTCCTTTATCTTTATACAGGTCATTCCTATGCCCGTACTGTACGGAGTATTCTTATACATGGGTGTTGCTGCCCTCAAAGGAATGCAGGTAGAACATTCTTCCTATTATGTTTTATGATTTTAAGGGGGCCGCCTAGGGTTTCCGTTGCACAGTACTTCGCGCATCTTAGTAATATGAAGCGTATTTACAGTTTTAATGCAACTTTTTTCATATAATAAATGAAATTTAACAAAATTAACGCAAATTAAAAAAAACAATTTTATATAAATTATTTTCAAAACAATTTTTAACTGATAGGTAAATTGAAGTTGTAATCATTCGTCAAAAACAATCAAGCGTCAAAAAAATTAATAATTGGAGGAAAACCCTTATTTCTCACAAAACCAATACAGTGTTTTAAACTGATGATGTTTTAATTCCAGTTCATCGACCGTATTGCGCTTATCTTCATGCCAAAGAAATACCAACCCGACCACATGTACCTACGTCACGTGCCAATCAAGCGTGTCCACCTCTTCACCTTTTTACAGATCATTTGTCTTGGTGTTCTGTGGGTTGTCAAAATGGTCAAATCCATCTCCATCTTATTCCCTGTCATGGTAGGTCAAGGTCATGACAAAAAAAAAATTACGTCATCTGAGCTTGAATACTGTTCATAACCTCTTAAATTGAACTCTTTTTTTTTTTTTTTGAAAACAAAAAATGTCAAGAATGAAATCAAATTTGGTTGAATGCATGAATGCCCAAGTCTTTATGCAGTTCACTTTCTTCCTAGGTTTTGGGTACCTGTATTGTGAGAAAGTTGTTCGACTATATATTTCAACAAAGAGAACTGAAATGGTTAGATGACTTGATGCCTGAAGACAAGAAAATGGCCAAAGAGGATTTACTGAAGGCGGCAGAAGAAGAGGTTCGTAAATGTCCGATGTTATTAAAATAAAACGAAAAGTAAATGCGTACAACAAAGTCATGTCTTATAGGCACATTTTCTGAATTACTACTATAAAAAAATTGTAGAACTGTGCTTTTTAAGAAAAAAATATTACAGACTTTCAATTATTTACTGCTTCATTAACATGAAAAAGTTTAGGTTTTTTTATGTAACACTCAAAAAGAACAAAAAACAAATTGGCTTTTATTTATGGAAGTTTACATTTATGTTAACAGCAAGAAAAGCTATTGGAAGAAGAGGAGAAGAAATTTAACTATAATGACAGAGTGAACATTTCTGAGGAAGTCAACAAGACCGGCATGTGGCTTCAAGTACGTCGTAGTTCTACCAGGGACGATCACCAGTAAGCACCACGTGACTTAGTTCCTAAACCCACGTGACCCAATTGTTTTTTTAAAATAATTTTTGTAATAATTGAAAAAAATCTTAATCAAACCATTCAATTTGTGTTGTTTTTTTTTTCAGCCACAAAAATGACAGAAATAAGAACATGAAGAACGAAGAAAACACAGAGAAGAAAGGACAAAAAGCCGCATTTTATTTTGGAGAGAATGCTTAAATATAACCGTTAACCTAGGACTTACTTATATAAGAATTCTCTCTGGCGTCCTGTAAAGCACGTCTTCCAGACAGGTCGCTGAGAAATTTGTGCATGTCGATATAGTTTCTTTGTGTTATTTGTGTTCGCCACCGACATCAATACTCGTATAGTATTAAAAAAACACCATTATACTTTGTGTACAGATGACTAATGGTAAAAAAGATTTAGTTAAACAGAAAATGGCTACTCCAACTGTATTTTTTTTTTAGAATTGACAATGCAATTATTTTACAAGTGTATTTTTCAGGTTATAAATTTTAATGATTTTGATGGTGCTTTCAACTTAATAACATGCATTTTAGAAGAAATAAGAATAGTTGCTTATTGTATAAGACTGAAATTTTTGCACCTGATAACTTCAATTGCAATATATTTCACTGGTCACATTAGAGCATTATGAGATCTACAAGAATTGTAATTTAATTTATATACGGAATAAAAGACTCGAAATATGAAGACTGGCGTGTTTGTTACTTACCTGGAGGAATCGTTTCCTAATAGTTTAGAAACCTCATTGAAAATTATCACACTAAACCATTTCTAGGGCACAATTGTAAAATACCCACTGCTCTCCGCGGAAAATTGCTCCAAATTCTTATATCATCAGGTAAGAAGTTTCTTTAAGTTTGGGTACTCGTATATTGCATATGTCCACTAGAATAGGAACCACGTTAATAAAGCACTATCTTCTTAATCGTCACCGCTTTGTTAACCATTGAAGAATCCCGGAACAGGTCGTTACATGTCGTTGGCAGTTTCAAGTTGGCTTCTTTCCAATCTGGTAATAACGTAACTTTCATTGCAAGTTAAAGACCTGGAATTTTGTTGTAAAAAGGAGTAGGATAGACTGATTACTCCATTAGAAGATCTACTTTAAATTGTCTAGTCCAGCTGCAAAATTGATGTTAAATTATCATTTTAAAAGAATATGCTTGGTTATTTTTGCATTTATTCATGACTTTTCGGGCTTTGTATAATTCTTTGACATCTTTTTTGATACAGTAGCTGTTAAAAATTTATGAAAGTGGTAGATTTCAAAGGTAAAGTAGCGTGACATAAATGAGTCTGCCGTCTTCGTAAATATCTAAGAAGAGTAGTGAATTAGTTGCTTTATTAACTTAACCGCTATTTTTATGGAAATATATTTGGTATGAAGTTTGGTACGACTTGATTAAATTCTTTTGTTGTAAAATTGGATTTTTCTCCTTTGATATACAGTTGTCTGCTTTGAGACATATTAGTGGTTCCTTATGGTCGAGAACTGAGTAATAATAAATAAAATCATGAAGAAACATGACAAATGAAGATCTGTCAAGCTACAAAAATGAAAATATAGCTAAAAATAAAAAAAAAGAAATTTTAGCATCCAAAAAATTCCCAGACGTATACATTGTAATGGAAAGATTTACCTAGAAGTGGAATGGGACGAAAAAACATCGCATAGAGATGATAGGCTTCTTTTCCGAAATATAAAATTCAACTGTTCATTCTTTAAATTTAAAAGATATAACAAACAGGTTCAACTGTAGAATAGAAGCTAAAGGGTCACTTAGAACAGTACACATACGACTATCGTAGGAAGGTTATGTAGTTGGGTAGGCTCTATGGAAACAAGTGTTTCACGTGTTTCACGCACTTAGGAAGGAAGACGAGGTATGAGTGTCCAGAATACAATATTTATGGTTAACATTTCCTCGCCTGTTATTACAGTTAGAGAAATAATTTGGAATTAAGGTATGACATAATTATCTATTATAAGTCCTGCCATATATAAATAAGTTGACCTCAAATGAGGAGGCAGACATAGTTGGTCTATCTCATCTGCTTACAATGTATGTTAACCATAAATATTGTAATGTCGTTTTGGTCTCCTATACCCCATCTTTCTCCTTAGATGCATCCACAGAAATAAAAGCAGACGACTGTACATGCGGATTTTCAGTATTCAAACTGCTGTCACTTAGAACTCCGGAACCATTAAACTTGCAAATTAAGACGAACGGCTTTCAACCCTGTAGCTTGAGAAATTTCTATCCCTAATAATAGTTCCATTTCACATCAGGTAAGTCATTATTAGAGGTGATAGAAGCTTTTTTCAGTTACGTAAATTATTGCCGCTGATGACATTTCCATTTAAATGATATCCTTTTGTTTGTAATCTGGAAAAGTAGCTCTGCAATCTCTGTATATTGATTAACAAACCGACGCAAGTAAGTAATAAAATCAAGATGACTATTTTTTTTTTACATTAATTTTTCAGATACCTGTGTAATATTTTTTTCATACTTCGAATATTTTCTTCTCTTATTGCCAAGTTATTGGGACAGCACGTATTGACATTTAGTTGTTTTCTCACTGAAAAGTCAAGGATCTTTTTTTTTTGCAGCTCTTAATGCACTACGGAATGTCAGTTTTTAAACTACAAAATAGTCTAATCCAAAGGACTGATGTCCACAATCCGTAGTCAGATCCCACTTCATACTCAGCGCCTCAAGAGTAAACACTCGAGCTAAGAATGTATTCAAAATTCTCAATGCATGAAAAAAAAAACTTCATCCACATCTGGATGTGATGCCTGAGTTACAGGTCTATAGCTGAGATAAAATATACCCCGAAAATTTATCGTGTTATTCTTCGAAAAGGAAAGAGTCCTTTTGAGTGAGGATTTATTTCACTGTCTTTGGTCAATACCCTATTCTACACCTCCATTTGTATTCCGTACCAATACCTCAGAAAAAAAAAACAATTGCAAGTCAGATTTAGAAAGAATCATTATATCATTGATAAAAAACTCGATTTTTCATCACTCCTCGTTTAAAGGCATCATTTCTTAAGTTCTATGGTCGATACACCTTGTCAGCAAATACAATTTATCATTGATTCAAATGCTGACTGACGTTTTTCATACTAATTGTTAGTTATTTATATTTCCTAATTATTTACTAATAACTATATTTATTAAATATTTACTAATTATTTATACACGAATTGACGACGGATTTATCCATTATTTCCCGATCATGACAAAAAGCATACAGCGAGTGTAGCCGGTCGGCAGGAGATGCTCATTCCTCCATGGCACCTGATCACACCTCGGATGTTTTGGAGGTTCGTGTTTGCTCTACTCCTATTTTGTATTGTTTTTTTCTAGACTTTTGATCTTGAAAACTGTTTGTTATCTCCATGTTTTATTCTAAATATTAATAACTTTTGTACAGAACAGACTGATGAACGGACGCTGCCCACGCATTATATCTTAGGAAAACATCTAATACCAGTTTCTTCAATGAAATATAGAAATAACGAACTGTAATCAAGTTCAAAAGTCATTTGAAACGAATCGGTAACAGAGCAAATACGGACCTCGAAAACATCAGACATTGGGTCGGGGTTCATGGAGGACTAAACGTCCCTAGAGCTCCAAGTGAGATGATATCACAATTTTTTTTCTTCAAGGGAAATGCACATGGTCAAGGGTTACTTAACAAAGCTTCAGTGACTGCGTAGTTAGTTTTTTCACGTGTTGATTTTATCACTCTCTTCCTGATCCCTCTATTTGTAAATTGAATCTACAGTTGATTGGATCCTATTTTAACGAGGCAATTGACATTTTGTCTCGACTAGAATCAGCAAGGATTTTATGTTGAATACCAAACAGGCGATAAAGTACCGAGTAGGCAGTTGTTTGTACATTGATTCTATGTGATTCTAGGAACGAAAATCGAAAACATGAAATATATTTTATTAGAATGCTTCAACATAACAGTAATAATGTATAAAATCCTTTTGCATAGAGCACTTATCTGATGTATCTTAGACTTCCATTCTACTCATGTGATATGGGAAATCTATGAAATCTGTATCTGACATAAGAAAAATTTATCACGATTACATTTAGAGGGCTTCCACTCGCCACTTTTCATCTTAAATAGAATACAATCTTCGTTTCCCTTTCTGGACTTTTCCCAGTTTGTATATGTTAATACACCGAAAGATGATGACCACTGTGAATTCTGATATGTTCCATCTATCCACAGTTCTTTCTCTGATAAACCTGCAATTAAAATCGATATCAAATATGTTGATACAGATATCATTTAAAACAATTTTATGTTACAGACACAAGCAGAAAATAATTCTTTTGTGGAGAAATACAAAGGGGGCGATTTTTATTTGACAAATGCTCGAGAGGAGGAGGACCACAATGTATGGTACTCTATCTACTGCAAGAAGAGATGAAACATTCATTTTTAATTTGTCCTTCTTTGAATTCGGGGGTGAAAGGTATCTCTTCAATAAGAGTAGAAACAAACCTGAGCCAAAATGTTGCGTCAAAAAAGTTTCAACAGTACTTTGTGTTTCAGCTGAATCAATCAATAGTAATACGCTGTTGGTCGTTGTTCTGCACTCTGTTTTGGCATCGTCACGTGACATTTTGGTCTGCACAAGAGAAATACATAACTTCTTATTATCGCTCAGTATATACTGCGATGGACATACTGGTAATGTAGAGGTTGTTAACACGGCTTCAGTTGTAAGGTCCACAGTGGTTGATGCTGTAGATGTTGATTCTATAGGAAGTGAAACTGACATCAATGTTGACGGTTGTGTAGACAAAGGCGCGGAAGCGGTAGTTTGTGTTAAAGCTGAAACTGGAAAAGTGAATTGTTTTTTGTATTTATCACTATAGCAGAACTACATCTACTGAACAGGTTAATTTCATAGAGACTTTTTAATGAATACTTCAAACGTTATGTAACTTAGCATGCAACGAGCTTTCATAGATTAATCATTAATATAGTTATGACAAGGGAATAAAATAAAAGAGACATTGTCACTAGAGGGTAAAATAATTTCCCACTAGCGTTGTACATCTATAATCAATGTCTCTGCATAAAATGAGTTATATTTTATTGACTTTAGCATACAAGAATTTAATTATTTCTGTAATGGCAGCGAAAGTGTTTCAGTGTCTGTTGAAATTTAAGGGAACAGTCTTTTTAGAATCTAGCTGACTTTACGAACTAATGCAATTAACCCATGCATCTACAGGAAAGGGGTAAATGACCAGTATAAAGCTTACTAACACGGAAGACTTCTATTTTGCCGTTGGAAATTTTCAATGCAAAGGTTCCTGTACACAGATTTTAACTAGATTTCCAACTTAATTAGAGATTCGGTATTATGCTTCCTGTCAATTCGATATGAAAAGGAGCTTTATTGCTACTAATCCCTCTGCTTCGCTATCAAGCTGTTTTCCTCAGAGTGAAAAACCCCATCAATTTTCTTTTTATATGTATTGGTAAATTTGATCTTTTTCGATATTTTAGAATTTAACCTTTAAAAACTGCTAAAGACAATGTTTTCATGGAATTGAAAAATGATACTACCTGTGTTGACACATACTGTCTTCTTACTACTCAGCTGTACACATTTCATGTTCGTGGATCCATTATTTGTCTGTGTTGTGTAAGAAGGTGCCATAGTCTGGAATGAAATATATGGAGATTACGATCAATATTCAGGCTCAAAAGTCCATGAAATAATACAAAATAGAAGGAGAGCAATCATGGACAGGTCTACAAAACATCAGAAGTGGGATCAGGTACAATGGAGGTGTGAGCATCCCCTGCCGACCGGTCACACGCAACGTGTGCTCCTTGTCATGATTGGGAAGTAACGGAAAAAATCCGTCGTCAATAATAAAGTTAAAGAGTTTGAATATGAACTGTTTCTTGTGCAATTTTAAATTTATGTATAATTATGAAAAGGCTTTGACTAGCTGAACAACACGTTCATCTGTATAAACAAAGCTCAATGCTTAATCTTTTTTCACATAAAAACAGAAAAACTCAAGCAGGTAAACACCTGCTTCATGATTGGTAATAGAATACCTATTGTCCTCGTACATGTAGTACCTTGCTCATGGGTAAGAAACTGTATTATATGAATATACTGTATACAGGGAAATTTTCGCCCCCGTTTTATTTTCACCCCATTTCGCCCTATCATTTGGGAAAATTTGAAACGGGGCGAATTCAAAGAATACAGTATAATTTCTTAAACAAAACTATGACTGGGCGAATATAAATGGGGACAAAATTGTTTTCAAGTGTGAAAGGGCGAAAATAACACGGGGCGAAAATAACCCTGTATACAGTATTTTCCATGGGCAAATTTGCTCCAGCATGCAAAAATTTATTTGGAATGCATTCTCTAGTGAGTTTGTGTACCGTTAGTAAATCCATTATGTTTTCTACATATACTATTCTTTTTTTTCATTACATTCCCAAGAAAACCTCCATACTGGAGAAAGAGCTAGAATTCTTTTATTTAAGCATTTGGAATACAGAGTGATTCTTCGTTGAGCGTAATATTAGATGAAAAAAGCAAACCTATGGTTCAAAATGTTGTTTTTGAAAAAAAATGAAACAATGAATTATAGGGGAGGAATTAAAAGATTACTAGGAGAGAGAGAGAGAGAGAGAGAGAGAGAGAGAGAGAGATTTGTGAAAAACTAATCAAATAAAAACACCATAGATGAACCTCTTGGCATAAGATATTTACTTTTACAGATTTGCACGTATCCATGACTAATATATATATATATTACAATTTTCCGTTTAATTTCACAGGAATATAATCCTGAACTAGATGCTTTTTAATTTTACGATCAATGAAGCATAATACTGTATGCATTGCAATTCTTTATACCTACAGTATGAAAGAATTTTTTTCTCCAGTAGGAAACCATTTTTTTTTTTAATTCTGAGAACAAATGATAAAATAATGGATTATATGCATTTATAAACAACTTTATTATTTTTCTTTATTGTTCCACCTGTCTGATTGGCTCAAACTGGATCACATGATCAAGTATAAAAAGTGTTACAGACTGGATGTTTCTACTTTAAAAATTTATAGACCTGCTGTTTCTAAAATTGGAATCTTTCTTCTGTGAAGCAACAATAGTGCTGACGTCACAATAGTCTTTATAGACTGGATGTTTCTAAAAACAGATACTGTAGCTGCTTTTCATTACTGTGACGTCATAATGCAATGGCATAACAATGCCTTGTTTGAGAAGGTACTGAGTTTTAGAAAGAAGGATTTTAAAACATTTCTTATTAACTGATAAAAAATAATAAAACAATTGTAGCCTTTTGATTGTTTGGTAAATCCCTATGATATATAGACCTTAGAGAAACATATACGACCTCGCACTTCGTGCTCGGTCAATATTTTTCTCTATCTATATATTTTTTTTTCATGGGATTGTACCTTATAAAAGGCTATAATTTGTAAGTATTATTTAGAGTACAATACATAAAATCACAGAAGAACGTATTTAGTAAATTTACTTTTGTTTTTAAACAAGAGCAAATATACTTATATATGAATTTCTTGCGCTTTAAACACATTATATAACTGTACACATGTTATGCAAATATCTACTACTATTTGAATAAAACTAATGAGGGCAAGTTAGTAAATGTTGTATGGATCCCAATCTATATGCAAATATTAATTAGGAAAGTTCTAATAGCATTCTCTTCAGTTCCCATCTAATTAAAAAGTATAATTTGAATGACAGATTCCTACTTTCATTGTATTGACGTAATAAAGTGGGAAACGTTATAGCGAGAAGTCAAACAAAAGTATTGTATATTGATAATAGTTTAAATATTTCTCATAAATGAAATCAAAGAATATTTAAATCATTGATTACTTATACTTGGTTTTTAAAGAAAATATTAAAATACGCAAGGAAAAACGAACTTTTGTGTTAAAAGTTATTGCTTTTAGATTTTAACTGAAGGTTTAGAAACTTCTTCAAATTTGCGTTTGGAAAATTATTCAGTGGTTCTGGTTTAAGCAAAATGTGCGTATATTACGGATGCGTATATTATTCTCTTCTGATAAATGTTTGGGCTTTGCTTAATTTAGAATTTGTATGGTTTTTAAGAATGAATTTTTAGAGAACTTTACTTGAAGTCTTTGCAACCACACATACTGCTCCTGCTTAAAATAAAAGAAAGAAAAAAGCAGCTTTGTCCTTATTAGCTCTACTGGTCAGAGACCAGAAGTGCTTATGCGATAGTAATGCATGTTTCAAAATTTCCGTCCGTCTTCTCTCTTGTCTGTCTGTCTGTAAACAATTTTTCAAAATGCTACTCCTCCTACAGTTTTGGTCTGATTTAAATATAACTTGGCACACAAGTAGACTACACTTAGATACATAATTCTGTGTATCGGTTTTTGATTTTGGTAAACGGTGTTGCCTTTGTTACTAAAAATAGAAATTTCTGTGAAATACTTTTAAAATGCTACTCCTACAGTTTTGGTCTGATTTCAATATAACTTGGCACATAAGTAGACTACACTAAGATACATAATTCTATATATCGATATTAGATTTCGATGAACGGTGTTGCCTTTGTTACTAAAAATAGAAATTTCTGTGAAAAACTTTCAGTATGCTATTTATCCTACAGTTTTGGTCTGATTTCATTATAACATGGCACACAAGTAGACTACAAATTAAAATTCTTTCTGTGTATCGATTTTTTATTTCGATGAACGGTGTTGCCTTTGTTTCTAAAAATAGAAATTTCTCTGAAATGCTTTCAAAATGCTACACCTCCTACAGTTTTGGTCTGATTTCAATATAACTTGGCACACGAGTAGACTACACTAAGATACACAATTCTATATAAGGATTTTTGATCTCGAGGAATGATGTTGCCATGGTTACTAATATTGAAAATACTCTAAAAGTTTATTAATAGCTACTCCTACAGCTGTAGTCTTATTGCAGTATCTTTCCACAAAAAGAGCTCAATCAAGCATCATTATTCTATTTATTGCTGTTGTAAATTTTTAATCCCAACTGCTACTTTTGTCTTCATTTGTTATAAGTACAAACCAGTAGAGCTTCAGTCTCGACAGAGACTTCTGGTTTTTTAAACGGTATACGATGTCGGGATATAGTTGTTTTTTTTCATGCGATGTGTATTTTAAATATGAAGAGACATATTTATTTGTGTCTAAGTATTTGTTAGAGTATAATAATAAAAACATATTTTAAAGATTATATAACATTTAGAAAAAAAGATTATTTAGGACTTTTTTTGTTGTTGGTTAAATTATTCCAATGTTAATGGCATTCTGTTTAATTTTTAGCTCTACTGGTCAGAGACCAGAAGAGCTTATGCGATAGTAATGCGTCCGGCGTCCGTCCGTCTGTCTGTCTGTCTGTCTGTAAACAATTTTTGAAAACGCTACTCCTCTTACAATTTTAGTCTGATTTCGATATTACTTGGCACACAAGTAGACTACACTAAGATACATAGAATAGTGCATCGGTTTTTAATTTCGATGAACGGTGTTGCCATGGTTACTAAAATAGAATTCTCTGTGAAATTCCTTTAAAACGCTACTCCTTCTACAGTTTTGGTCTGATTTCAATATAACTTGGCACACAAGTAGACTACACTAAGATACATAGAATAGTGCATCGGTTTTTGATTTCAATGAACGGTGTTGCCATGGTTACTAAAAATAGAATTTTCTGTGAAATTCCTTTAAAACGCTACTCCTTCTACAGTTTTGGTCTGATTTCAATTTAACTTGGCACACAAGCAGACTACACTAAGATACATAGAATAGTGCATCAGTTTTTAATTTCGATGAACGGTGTTGCCATGGTTACTAAAAATAGAATTTTCTGTGAAATCCCTTTAAAACACTACTCCTTCTACACTTTTGGTCTGATTTCAATATAACTTCGCACACAAGTAGACTACACTAAGATACATAGAATAGTGCATCAGTTTTTGATTTCAATGAACGGTGTTGCCATGGTTACTAAAAATAGAATTTTCTGTGAAATTCCTTTAAAACACTACTCCTTCTACAGTTTTGGTCTGATTTCAATATAACTTGGCACACAAGTAGACTACACTAAGATTTTTTTTACATAGAATAGTGCATCGGTTTTTGATTTCAATGAACGGTGTTGCCATGTTTACTAAAAATAGAATTCTCTGTGAAATTTCTTTAAAACACTACTCCTTCAACAGTTTTGGTCTGATTTCAATATAACTTGGCACACAAGTAGACTACACTAAGATACATAGAATAGTGCATCGGTTTTTGATTTCGATGAACGGTGTTGCCATGGTTACTAAAAATAGAATTTTCTGTGAAATTCCTTTAAAACGCTACTCCTTCTACAGTTTTAGTTTGATTTCAAAATAAGCTGGCACACAAGTAGACTACACAAAGATACATAAAATAGTGCAATGGTTTTTGATAAGTACAAACCAGTAGAGCTACAGTCTCGACAGAGACTTCTGGTTCTTTTCATAACAGTATTTTAAAACTTTGAATACAGTTAGGATGTTATGATCTTTTTAAATAATCTTTCCTTTTTATTATTATCATGTTTATTATCTTGTACAAGTATTTTTATTTGTTTCTCTGTC